TAGGGGTGAAGGGCGCACAGGTAATGGGGAAAAAATAAGAACCAAGATACATCATGTACAGGTACAAGCACCCAAAGATAAATGTAAATGTATTGTATACCTAAAATGTACCAATAAAAGAATTTAAGAAAAGAAATAAAAAAAATAAATAAATAAAATGCAAAAAAGCCACCACCACCACCACCACCAACAAAAAAACATTTTGTCCCCTTAGCCTCAGAGCAGATGTGGCCTTGAGATTTTTCCTGGGGTATTTGCCCATGTGATCTGGACTGCCATAACCTGGGAATATTTAGGCCCAATCAGATTATCTAGTCACCTTCAACTATAAGCCACTGTGCATCAGAACTGTACCATCTAGAGCTATAAAATAATATGTAATAGTTCAGTTTAAATTCTATTATAATGATGATAATAAAGAACAAATAAAAACACATTACTTCTTTTTGAAGCTTCTATGAGACAGATATTAATAACTTTAAATATTTTAAAGCACCTACTGAAAGCCAGGCATTATACTAAGCATGATTTAATTCTCACAACTAGAAATTAGTCCAATTTTATGCATGGGGAAATTAATGAAAGAAACAAGCTTGGAAGCCAGGCAGAATGAATCCATCGTCAGAGATCTTAGCTACTCTGCACTAACATAAACTGACCCCTGATTGGCCCTGCTATACACTAAAAGCCTAAGGAGAATTCATGGTCCAATCATTCTAGCCCTTGAACAATTCCTGGTTATCCATTTTGGTCACAGTTAGTCTAACGGAGGATACGATATCACCAAATACAGCCCATGCTATGCATTATAGTTTGGTGTAACAGTTTTTTGCCTCTACCACATACAGAAGTTAGGCTCCCCTCATTTCTCATTCACATACTCTTTTCTTCATGTTTGATTGCTTTTATGCTTGTTTCTTGGTGTTCATGTCTTAATTTATTATTAATATTGTTGTTGTCCAATCTACCTCACCTCCATCTAACCTATAAGGATTTAAAATCTGGGCTAGAATTATGAAAATTATTTGGTGAGGGTGGGAATACTCTATAAACAAGTGGCACAACAAAGTAGTATTACTCTTGATCTATTTATCAATATGAATGTGCCTGTGAACCACGTGGGGGATCTTATGAAAATGTGGCTTCTGATCCAGTAGGTCTAAGCTGGGGCCTCACATTCTGGAATGTGAGGAATTCTAAACAATTCCCAGATTATGGAAGCATATTTTTGCATAACAGGATTCTAGATTGGCCTGGTCTTATGTTTTCAAGTAGGATCACAAATTAATCTGAGGAGATTAATGTTTAGGCTGTTGAAAAAAACTCTGTAAGATGGCAATTCCTTAATGTCTTTACAAAACCATTGTAATGGTTAATTAGCTCTGACTGTCCAAGAAGCCTGCTTAGGTGTAAACTCTTCAGTTGTGATTTTTTTCTTCTGATTTTATCTTTAATGGAGATGAAGTTAGTCTAACATGTCCATTCTCTTATTTTGTTTATGCATATATTTATAAACAAAGTTATTCAATGTTAAAATAGTCTTTGGGCTACTGTCCCTGCCATGTCCTTCCTTCCTATTTAGGAATCTAAGATTTTGAAGGTGTCTAAGTTAGTTCTCTTTCCATATTCATGTTTATTTGCCTCCTCTAAGAAATCAATAAAATTAGACAGGCTTTGTAATTACTAGACAAAATCCTGTTGCCTTTTAGTTCAATGAACTGTTTAAATGTTCAGCGACCCTATCCTGCATCAGATACACCCCAGCTTGCCCAAAGTGCAATAAGGAGTGTACTAGTAACTACTGGCCACTCAGCCTATAAAGCTCTTATTACAAAAATACACACTCTAGGTAGAATCTGGTAAATGTCAACTTCAAAATAAGTTGTGTCATACTGTTATATCTATTGCCACATGGTCAATAAAAAGAAGCACTTGTAAGGTGATTAAAAATAACATACCAGGTAAAATTGGTTGTCCAGCAATTCCCAGCGGTGCCATTCCAAGATTATTCATTGCTGTGGCCCACGCAGTTGGATCAGACATAGGTAGCGTCATTGCAGTGGAATCTACATTCAGAGTTCTACTATTATCTGCTGAAAAGAAATGACAGGCCAAATAATTTGTTGTTTTAAGGTTCTAGCATCTAGTTTACTTATCAGTGTAAACTCTTGCAAAGTCTTTATGGAAATGGTCTGATGCACAAGTAGTAGATAAGGCCACAATGCCTGCTTTCTTACAAGGATTAAAACAACATAGATCAAACTGACAGGAAGTCATGAAATTTAAAAGCAATTTACCAGATGGCATATTATTGTAAGTGTTTCCTTCTCTCACCCCTCCCCACACTGTTTTTTCCAAGCATACATAACACAGGAGTTTGGGATAATTAAGAAGTTTCCTATTCTTTTCAGTCTACTAGCATATGATTACTTCAGCAGCTTCCACCCAAACTACTCATGCATGCAAACCAAGAAGAATAAAAAGGCCTAGGACTTCTGTAGTTGGCAATAAAATATGAAAATTATAGTCCTGATGCAATTGCATGTCTTTGAGGCAGTGCTACTGCAAAAAGCTGAGCAAACCATCAGCAGACATAAAGCTAGCCAACTGAGTATTTGGTGGGGGGTTAGCAAAAGAGCAGACAAGAGACATTGCTCCTGCCTCAAACACTGTACAATTAAGTTGAAGGGATTGATGATGATAGTAATCATTATTATTATTAGTACTACTATCGCCACCTGTACCCATCACTACCACCAATTATTGAACACTTACCATATGCCAGTAATGCACTTGACATGCATTATCTTCCTTTAACTTTCAGAACAATCATATATTATAGGGAATATTTTATTTAGTAAGTGAGAAGTTTTAAAAGACTGCGTGTATTCTCCAAGATAATTCAGGAGAAATACTTTTTTGTAAGTATTGGCTTTACTATCTCCAATTAAGTAATTAGAAAACAACGAAATCCTTGAATGGTATAGACCAGATTACTGAAATTTAGGGAATAAGGAGCTACTACGGCCTAAGCAGGTAAAAAATACTTCACAGAGAAGATAGGATTTGTAAGAATGGTTCAGATTGCTATAGACTATGCCTTAAGTGATGGGTAGTTATTAAATAAAGAAGAGGTGGTAAAACATCCTAGAAACAGAGAGGACATAAGCAAAGACACTGAAGTGGGTTATATATGCAAGTGCATGTATCTACTGCACAAGTAGGAGAGATAGAGCCAGAAATCATCTGAGGATAAAAAGCCAAAACTTGGATATTTTCCTTTGTCTACACATAGCCACGGGGGTAATATCAAAACTGTCCATGGCCTTTTTCCTACTTATGTATCTCTGCCAGGTACACCCCAGAAGGCAGCTCTGTTCTAATAGTAGCTCACTAATGTCCATCACGTCCTTTCAGCCTGGCAACATCAAGGATGATCCTTCGCCAGGTTATTTATACATGTGCTATTTTGGTCACTGATTGGTCAGAACAAGCAAATGCAAATGTCCAAGGAAATTATTTCTGAAATGTTAGTTTTGGTCATTCTTCTGTGCAGCCTTTGCCTCCTCCCTGACAAAGCATGCGTGCATGCAGCACGCACGAATGCATGCACACACACACATACACACATGTGTATGCATGCACACATACACCCTCCCTACACACACAGTAATTGATGGCCCTAAGTGTTCATTATTGCAGTCAGAAGTCACATTTCAGAGCTGGTGATTTCTTCATCTGTGGAAACTATAGTCCTCACACTCAGTTTTCTGTGCTCTCTCATGAACGTATATCTTAAGGCTAGAAATAGCTTCCCTGTAAATATCAAGAAAACAGACGCGAGGTATCAAATATCCTTTGGGTCAAGTGTTTACATTGTAATAACTAGGTCCACCTAGACTTCTAATCCCCAGAGAGGGGCGACAAACATTTAGGGAATGTGGGAATGTTACAGCTGGAAGGGACTTTTAACTATTACCAAGTTTGCACCAGGCTTTTCATGGAGGCTAGAGAATGGCTCCTAGAGGAAACAGGTAGGTTTGGGGGGGGGGGCAAGGCCAAAATGATTTGCTTTCAGCAGCAGCTTGGCTACTCATTAGCTCTATAGTCCCCGAAAATATAAGAAAACCAGGAATTCTTCTCAACAAGATTCTGAGATCAAATAATGAGAATTTACAATGTCTCAACCTAGCCAAACTTTGACTAACTTAGGCAGAGTGGGGAGAATGATCTAAATTGTCATGTTTTTTTAAGAGGACAATACAGGGGCTAGGGATGTAGCTCAGTGGTGCAGTGCCTGCCTGGCAAGTACAAGGTCCTCAGTTCAATTTCCAGTACTGGAAAAAAAAAGAGCACAACACAGTATTGTTTTCGAAATGTATATTAATTCCAAATGCCTTTAAAAATGTTAGTAAGTGTTCAAATGGGAAGAGGGACAAGGGAGGAGGAAGGGAGGAAGGAAGGAAGGGACAAGAAAAAAGTGAAAATAGAAGGAAAAAAATGGGAACAAAGTTTTTGAACATAGGAAAGGGAGGGGACTTGGGGGGGGGGATGGGATAAAATAAGATAAATTTTATTTTAAAAAATGAAAAAAATGTTAGCAGTAGAGTTGTCCTAAGGCTTGTTTACACGTACAGAACAAGGAACATGTGTAATTTATGACATTATTTTGCCACAATCCAGTTCTTAATTCTGAAGAAGGTCTGCTTTAAATACCCTTCTAATCTCCTTCCTTTCCCCCAACACCTATCTCCACCTGTTAAATCCAACTCATTTTTCAAGGGTCATCTCAAATGCCACCTTGGCTGTGAAGCCATCTGACTAGAATTAATTATTCCTTCCTACGTGTTCTTATAACATTTTATCTTAAATTTGATTTTTATATGTTTGTTTATTCTCTCACTCCTTCCCTCTAGTCTAAACTTTTTGTCTTATTATATACCAGGTTCTGTGCTAGAGACTAGGGATACAGAGATAAAAAAAACTCATTTATTGCTCTGGAAGAACTTGCAATATTGTGAGAGGCACAGAAATATAAACAACCAAATACAAATTATTGTAATAATTACTGTAGTAAAACTATGAATAAAAGGCTACAGGAACACAGAGGAGTAATTAAAGTTACAAAAATGAGTTTGGGTGTGTGTGTTTGGGGTGGGAGGGTGGAGGAGATGAAGAATGCTGGAGGCTTCACTGGGAAAGAATCATTTGAAATGAGTCCGTAAGGAGGAATAAAATTTTCTTCCAAATAGTGAATGGAGGATTAAGTTAGAAGAGCATTTCAGGAAGCAAGAATGACTAAGCATTTACAACTGACTGCCTTGAGTTATAGCTATTGGGTACAAGTCTCTCTTTTGCTATCTTGTAGCACCTTTAGGTCAGGGACTGGGTTTAAGGCATCTTTGTCCCCTTATTTCTTAATTCAGTGTCTTGTATAATGTAGACAGTTAAGAAATATTTGAGTAAATGACAAAAAAAACCAAGTTATGTTGATGTTGTGCATAATGAACAATCTATGCAATGGCATTCACTGATTATTTGTATATCTATTCAGAATGATAAATTGTCTTAAAAGAGATGATATTATTATTAAACTGATTCTGTAGGACAACTGTAGGAATCTGCTGAGAGTTACAACCAGGAACAGATATGTCCAACTAATAATTCAGTTCAATCTCATTAGCTATAATTTTCCCATCTAAGCACAACTATACATATAAGCAAGCTTATAAAATTTCACTTTCAAAGAGAAATCCCCAAATGATCATCTCTGTTTGGCAACAATCTGCATTTCAGGTCACTAACAAAACATGCTGTGCTAAATGTCTGTGTAGAACCATCACCGAGAGTAGGAAATTTTAAGTCCTGAGCTGATTTATTTTCCATAATAGATAGGAACACCTAGAAAATGTTGTAAACGTTTTATCAGATTAGTCCCACATCACTGGAGGAAGAGATTGCACATTTTCCCACAACTCCTACTATTACTGGTAGCAGCTGAGAACACTCACAAAGTAATTGCTAGTGGGTATCAAATGGTCTTGAAAATAACTTCCCTAAGTCTGAAGAACATGTTTTGGCATGCTGGTTTCTAACTCTGCTGTGTGGCAACTCCTTAAGAGGTCAAAGGTTGGGCCGGGGATTTAGCTCAGTGGTTCCGTCGCTTGCCTTGCAAGTGCAAGGACCCAAGTTCAATCCCTGGTACCAAAAAAAAAAATTAAAAAAAAAAAAGAGGTCAAAGGTTGTAGAGTAATTGTGAATAAGTGCCTTCTAGGTAACTGGATCAAAGACATGGCACTTTGGAATAAGAATGCATTAGCATGAAAAGATTTAGACGTGTCTATCCACTTGAACTTGGTATCACGCCATAATCAAATTGGTGTTATCTGTTTATTTTTGTATTGTTTATGAACCACTAATTAATCAATTACTATCAGTTATTTGAAATTGAAGACTATATATATACACACATTCTGGTATACAATCATTGGGGAGTTACTACAAATGTTTTCTTTATCTCCTATGAAACAAGGGCAGTATGTTGATGCCATGTATCCAACTATATTCTTTTATTAAGGCAGAAACTCTGACAATTTACTCTCCTACAATTCTCTTTCTCATGTCCAAATTTATATCCATCAGTTTTTATGCTTACTATAATTTTGTTACATAGTATTGTGCAAAGTTGAGGAGAATATTTTGTCAACAAATATCTATTGAAAGCTGATAGGAAGCTATTCTGCCTAGTGATCAAGGGCATTAGTTTAGGAGTCAGATGGCTCTGGACTAGAGTTTAGCTCCACTACATTGTGACTTTAATGCATTCATCCTCTTTCTTCTCTTCTTGTTTGCCTGCCTTCTAGCCTTCCTTTCATATTTACTGTACATTCATTGGATATTTTCTATATGTCAGGCACTATTCTAGATGTTGGGGATATTTGTGAATAGGCAGGACTTGTTATTGGTCTTGTGAAGTGTACAGTCTGGTGCAGAAAAGATATTACAATACAAATGAATAATTAAAAATAATTACACATAGTAATGTGTTATGACTGAAGAACTGTGTTTGATAAAATGTCAGACCACAAAATTA